AAAAAAAAAACAAAAAACAAAAAACAAAAGAAACCACCCAAAAACCCTTCCCCCCATTAAAAAAAAAAAAAAAAGAACCACTGTCCTAGAGGATAGCACAGCCCAACACGTTACTGTTGGTGGGGAAGCTTTGCTTCATTTAATATTGTGCTTGCAAGTTGGCCTCATGCCTATGTAATGTTTTTATTTTCCGAGAAACTATTTAAATGTGCATTTTGTGGCAGCCCTTTCCTCCCAAGCCACCTGCCTCTCACATTCCTATTCTGTTTGTCTGCTCTTTCTCACTCACTCCTCTGTTGCATTTGGTTTTTCTTCTTTAAACCACCCTCCTTTTTCAAGGCACCCCAAACCTTGTGGTTGTCCTCTATTTCCTCTGTACCTGGCTTGCTTTTCTGTTTGTGTTACGGTGACTCTTCCCTCATGGCTCCTGTTTGTCTTTCATTTTCCTCCTATCTCCTTCCCTCTCTTTCTCTCTCTTTTAAAAATATTTTTCTTGTGTGTGTGTCTTAAATTGTAGTAAAATATACACACCCTAAAATGCACCATTTTAACCATGTTTAACTGTGCAGTTCTCTGGATCAGTTGCATTCATGTTGTGCCACTTCACCACCTCTCCGTCTCTTTTAAGTAGATTGTTTATTTCTCTATGTAATTGGGGGAACGTGGTGGAAATACTCATGATATTAGCAATGACTCTTGGGACATGCTGTTTGAATGGGAATCACATGAAAGTTGTTTTACTTCAATGACTTTGCCTCAGACAGAGAACGGGCTCTGGGACAATGACCTCAAGCCCAGGGTCAGCGAGTGGGAAGTGATCCAGGAGTCGGGGACGAAGCTGAAGCCCATGTACGGGCCTGGGTACACGGGTCTGAAGAACCTGGGCAACAGCTGCTACCTGAGCTCCGTCATGCAGGCCATCTTCAGCATCCCGGAGTTCCAGAGAGCGTAAGTGACCTTGCAGGCCTCATGGCGCGTGTGCCCGGGAACCCGTGTCCACTGCAGTGGGTTGTGTTGCCCCCTCTTCTGTGGCCTGACCTCAGAGGGAGGCTGTGTGGGAAGTCTTGACAAATGCCGTGGGGGTTGGGGGAGATGAGGGGAGCTCGGGAAACTGAGAAACGGCCGCAGAGGTTTGTTCTGTTAACAGTGGCTTCTGCTTTTAGGCCATCTGTCTGTGTGCCAAGAGTATGTTCATTAACCTTCACAGCAAGCCTGCCAGACCCTCCTACAGAAGCACTAGGGAGGTCCAGTGATTTGTTTGGTCACTGTCCCCCTTCTAGTGGAGTTTCTTTGACGATTTAGGATTTTCAATATTTCTTTCTTTCTTTTTTTTTTTTTTTGGTTGAGACAGTCTCACTCTGTCACCCTGGGTAGAGTGCCGTGGCATCATAGGTCACAGCAACCTCAGACTCTTAGGCTCACCCAATCCTCCTGCTTCAGCCTCCCAAGTAGCTGGGACTACAGGCACAGGCCACAGTGCCCAGATAGCTTTTCTACTTTTAGTAGAGACGGGATCTTGCTCTTGCTCAGGCTGGTCTCAAACTCTTAAAGCTCAGGTGATCCACCCACCTTGGCCTCTCAGAGTGCTGGAATTACAGGCGTGAGCCGCCACACCTGGCCAGGTTTTTTTTATGTTTGCTACTCAGAGTGTGGGTCACAGATGGGTGCTTCTCCTTGGACTGCTGGGTGTGTGGTCTGTGACAGGTGGGTATGGAAATTGAGAATGAGTGTTCACACTCACTGAGTGTGGCGATTTGACACTGCGCTGTCTTATAGTGGCGTTGCATTTTTCTAGCAATTTCTCTTTGTTCTCTTTTTGAAGGTATCTGTTGTATGTGTTCACATAAAAGAGCAAGCCGTTCACTACAGATACTCTGGAAGGCACTGACTGAGGGGCTCCCTACTTGGCCAGGCTGCCTTCCTCTCCCCTTACCTAGGGCGGAGCAGCTACGTCTGCAGCCACAGAGGGCAACAGGCTCAGGGTCAGTTGAGTTTAGACATGCCAGCCCAGTTTTCTCTACTCAAAGCCTGCCAGAACCAAAGCCGGGTCTTGGGGTCTCAGAGTCTCCTGGGCATTGCAGTGTCTGACCATTTTCTTCCTTCGGTTGTGCTGAGGATAGGGAGCTGCAGACCCCAGGAGCTGTGGCTGGTGTAGGCATTGCCTGAGCTTAGAGAGTAATCTCCAGTGTGTTCCAGAGTGGATTAGCTTGCACCTTGGTTCCAGTGTAGAAGTGCACACGTGTGCGCTAGCACAGGGCAGCATTTTATGCACAAGGAGCTGAAATCCTCATGGCTTTAATAGTGCTTGATCAAAAGCATGTGAGCTAACCTTTTCTTTCCTTTCTTGGTGTTTGAAGACTTTGCTCTTCTTGCTGTTTTCTGGCTTTGAAGATACACGGTTAGTTTTCCATGTCTATTTTTCCATTTTTCATCTAGCCAATAGACAGTGAGTTCTGGTCTACACAGCAGTGGACCAAGGGTGTGTGTGTGTCCATGGTGGACAGGAGGACCTGGAACCTACCCCCAGGGAACACACAGCCACTCAAGGAAATAGGTGTTGAGTATAATCATAGGAACAACCACATGCTTATAAATCTGGTACATTCTGTGGAGGGAAGGAGGAGGAGGAGGTCGGAGGGAGCCCCTGTAGAGGTGAATTGCCCTGGGGGTGTGCTGGAGGAGAGGAGGCAGGGGGCTCTGTCGGAGGGTGGGCGAGTTGGAAGCTCTGAGATAGGAAACTCCTTCCAGCAGTGCACATCATGTGTCATGTTATTTTTATGAATTCTTATGCGTGCCTCATACTTGCATTATTATCATTTGATTGGGGAACACTGTAGCTTTAGCTTATATGACTCATGCTCCAAGATATTTTCTTTGAAAATGTTGAAGGAATGTCCTTTTGTGAGGTGTTGTATAATTATTATTTCTTTTAAACTAGCATGAGAGAAACTTGTGTTCTTTTGTTACAAAGCCCAACAACGCTTTGGGAATGCTTTACAGTCTACAGTTTTTAAAGATCCTTCCTATACTTCAAAGTTTGATGAAGAATTTTTTCTTTAATGAAAAAGTGTACCTCATATCTGTGCTTTGAATTTAAAATTCGAATCTCTCTCCAGTCTTGTTTTAAGAGTTTTGGAATTTTGCATTATAATGTCTAATATTTTATTTCCTGTTTTCTAAGCCTTTACTGAATGTCTTAAAATATGAGTAAGCTGCTATTCACAGCTGTCTTCAGGCTTCCCGTCCTTTGCCCAAATGTCACTGAGTCGAAATGCTTTCTCTTCAAAGCCCTTCTTGCCCAGAAGCACTAACTCAGTGGAGTTGGATCCAGGACCAGTGTCTTCACTTTGAAAGTAGAAAGAGTGACTCATAGAAGATTAAATAACTTATGAACAGCCACAGTGTGATTCAGGAGTATCAGCCTCATTCCTTGATTCTCTGCCACTTGAACCTGGTGTACATTTGAACCTAGTATATACATCATTCTCGAAGAAGATCACATCTAAATAAACTAGTGTGCAAATTGAATGGCAACTAAGATGGGTTGACAGATAGTGCAGACATCTTTTGTAAACTGAAGGTTCAGTATTACTTGAAAGATTATCTAGCATTACTTCTGCATTTTAATTGATTTTATTTTATTTTATATAGACTTTTTGAGACAGAGTTTCACTCTCTCTCCCTGAGTAGAGTGCTGTGGCATCATCATAGCTCATAGCAACCTCAGTCTCTTGGGCTCAAGCGATCCTCTTGCCTCAGCCTCCCAAGTAGCTAGGACTATAGGCACCTGCTGTGACTAGTTTTTCTGTTTTTAGTAGAGATGGGATCTTTTTATTTTTATTTATTTTTATTTATTTATTTATTTTTTTATTGAATGGTAACTATGTACATTAATACACTTCTGGGGTACAGTATGGGGTTTTCACATGCAATCTGAAATACTTCGATCAAACTGGTCAACACAGCCTTCACCTCATTTTCTCAGTTACTGCTTTAAAACGTTCACATTCTACTCTTAGAAAGATTCACCTGTACCCCTATAAGATAAACTTCGGATCTTACTCTTGGTTAGGCTCGTCTCAAATTCCTGAGCTCCAGCAATCCACCTCCCTTATCTTCCCAGAGTTCTAGGATTACAGGTATGAGCCAACATACCCAGTCTATTTCTGCATTTTAATTTTGTTATAATGGTGGATATTCCTCATCAATTAGAAAATGGGTATCTATTTTAAGCAAATGAACTTTTATTTATTTATTTTTTCCTGGCCTCCAGGGCCAACAAACTGGATTTTCCTGACATCATGGATGTACCCCCTTGAACTCTGCTTTTCTCCGCTAATCTTGCCTTAAAGCATAAGCCTTTTTACCAAAGTTCATCTCCACAGTGAGTTTTTTGTCTTGTTAGGTTTAGAGATGTGATAAAAACTGGACCATATGAGGGGCAGCTCATCATGTTGTATACGTATTATTAGGAAATCTTCAGTGCAGCCTCTACCTTGTGTAGTTGAGCTCCAAAGTTTGATTTATCTCTTATTTGGCTCTTATTATTTTGAAATTTCCTAGATGAAATTCTTGCCCTACTGATACATCCAAAAGCCATTTGAATGGGACTGGCCCGGAGAAGCATGCTCTGTTAATTTTGATGTAGGTACACACTCCAGGCTGTAGATTCTGAACTTGTGGACAAGAGGTGCCTAGAAGTTTCTAGAGGTTGAAGGATCCAACTGGAGGTCATTGCTAACTGATAGTGTATCATGTTTCTCTGGGGTTTCATTGTAATCATGCCTTTTCTCAGTTATTCATAGTCATGGAAAGCTGGTTATATGATTATCTGATGTGAATGTATACATTTAACAATTGTTTACTGAGTACCTTTTACATGTCAGTTGCTGTTCTAGTGCTGGAGATGTGGAGATTCAGATAGATAGAGTCTTTGCCTTCATGGAGATTACATCCCAGTATGTAATCTCTAGAAAGATAGAGACTAAACAAGCAAATAAATTAATTATGTAGTTTCAACTAGTATTGCATGCTGAGCAGAAAGTCACCAGAAGCAGGTAATTGTGAGCTGGGAAGGATGGGGGGTGGCTGCTCTTGTGTGGAGGTGACTTTTCGGTAGATCCGAAAGAAGCTGCCAAGCCAAGGTCTGTGAGGAGGGCATCCCAGGAAAGAGACCACAGAAGGCATGACTTTGAGCCTGGCATGTCCTGGGTTAGCAAGAGTGGCAAGTGGCTGGACGTTGTGGGCTGGGGGAGAGTGGTGGCAGATGAGGTCAGAGAAGTTGGCAGAGTGGAGCACATGAAGGTTCAGAGAAAAGGGTGGCTCCTGGGTTATTCTTCCTAGAGCTGTCAGGCCCGGAGAGTCAAAGACTGAGGGGAGGAAGAAGGACAGCACAAGTGGAATAGGAGAGGAGGGTAGACATGAAGGAGTTTGTGCATTAAGATTAGAGGCCACTATCCACGTTAGCACAGCCCTCTCAGGCTAAATGGACCAGGAGGAGGGACTGGACAGCTCAGGGCCGGTGGGGGGCAGGTGTAGCCAGCAGAGTGGCTCAGAGCACGGCCACAGAGCCCAGCTGCTGGCTGTGTTCTGGGCTGTGTCATTTCCTCCCTGGGAGACTTTGGAGGCTGCCTAATGAATTTGCATCCCTGTCTTGCATCTCTGAAGTGAGGATGATGATGATAATAATCCCTTCCTCACATGGTTGTCATGACGACTTGACTAGCTCGTACAGGAAGCCCCCAAGAACTGGTAGTTGTCACTGCTCTTGCCATCATTGGTTTTGAGATTATTGGAACAATTCCTAATGTCCAAGAAAAAAATTATCCAAGCACTTGTTAAAGATGATAATAAGACAGACTTTATTTGTGAGGAGCCATGGTGATAGGTATAGGGACCACTGCCATGGGGCCTTACAGTGGGGAAGGCATTGAACTCAACCCTGACTGCAGCAAGGACAAGTGGGGGTTCACAACCAGGGGGGCGTGTGGGTGGAAATCACTAAGAGGAAGTGTCAAGGATAAGAGGTTTTTGGCCACCCAGACCGATAGGGGCAGGCCAGGGTGGTCACATACCATGGCTGGAGTTTCTTTTCTTTTCCTTTTTTTTTTTAGAGATAGCATCTTATTGCCCTCAGTAGAGTGCTGTGGAGTCACAGCTCACAGCAACCTCCAACTCCTGGGCTTAGGCGATTCTCTTGCCTCAGCCTCCCGAGTTGCTGTGACTACAGGCACCCACCACCATGCCCTGGCTATTTTTTGTTGCAGTTTGGCTGGGGCTGGGTTCGGACCTGCCACCCTTGGTATGTGGGGCCGACGCCCTACCCACTGAGCCACAGGCACTGCCCCACCATGGCTAGATCTTCACTCAGCTGACTTAGCAGGATCCTTATTCAAACCTGTTTCCATGAAGACAGACAGGGAAGCCCACAATTGGGCCCACTCAAGCAGAGGACTTGGAAGAACTTGATTAAAGTTTTGGTTGAAATAAAGAGTCTTGTCACTAACCAGACCATTTGTTTCTAAGGTGGAAACAAGGTGATTGTGATGGCACCAACCAGTGGTTCTTGACTCTGGCTACATGTTATAATCACTTGAAGAACTTTTAAAGACTTTCAAATCCTAAGCCTCAGGACATCTGGGGTGGCTCTGGCTTTGGTATTTTTCAAAGAAACTCACTGGCTGAGTCTAACTTGAAGCCAGGGTTGGGACCCACCGATAGAAGCACAACATTTCAGGAAGGTTCGTGAGTGGTGGAGGCGGGATCCCGGGAAAACCTTTTCTTTTTTTGAGAAAAGGGCAAGAAGGTCTTGGTGAGAATGATAGCTTGTTTTGGTTGTGTTCCTCTCTCAGCTGCTGTGTTTTAACTATTGCTTCTCATTTTCTAGGTATGTGGGAAACCTTCCAAGAATATTTGACTACTCACCCTTAGATCCAACACAAGATTTCAACACACAGATGTAAGTGCCAGATTTTTTTTAAAAAGTGTTTCAGTCCAATGTCCATCATGGTTATCTCCAGGCTGCAGAATTAAAAGCAATTCTTCATATCCTATGTTTTATAAAAGTGTTCTAAAAGGAGCATGTGTTACTTTTATGAGAAGAAAGAAATTCACAAATTTATTTATAAAGTACTAAGGAAAATTTGAAAACAATCAGTATGAAGCAGAATCAAATAAGTAAGTTATTTGTGAAGAATCTAGATAAAATGCTCCACCTAAAAGCAGCTGTATTTATTGAAATTCATAGATAATTTTGATATCTCTATGGGAGAACAACAGTGACCTTTTGTTTTTGTTTCTGTGTCCCGGCCAGGACTAAGTTAGGACATGGTCTTCTCTCAGGCCAGTATTCAAAGCCTCCGGTGAAATCTGAGCTCATTGAACAGGTGATGAAGGAGGAGCACAAGGTACGTGTCTGAGTGCTTGCTGCACTGATACGCAGGTAGGAGGGACCGTCACCAGCTAGACTGTGGATCTCCTATGATTTGGCAAATGGTAGCTGTAAATTTAGCAAGTGGTGGAGGGTGCCTATTTGTGTACTCTTGAAAATCGTGGTAAGGAGTAGCCAGGGCTGGAGTTTCTCGTTGCTTCTTGGATTATGTGTATGCATCATCACTGATGGTCCTAAGTAGCAGTGTTCTCCATAGAACAGAGCTGAGATAGAAGGAATAAATCTTAGAAAGAAACATGCATTTTCCCCTAGGTAGCACAATTTTGGCCCTTATAGCATCTTTCTTCTCCAAGTCTCACTTTGTTAAAGTTTCTCAAGAGGTTGGTTGTTAACAAACAACATACAGATTCCTCAGCCCCTCCCTAGAGCTGAGGATTCAGAATTTCTGGGGAGCACTGGGCAGGCCTGGCTTTTGGTAAGCTGCCGGGTGGTTTTTAAGCACACTTGAGTGTGAGAGCGAGAATGAAAGTGAACACCTTCTTGTTCATAATGAAGCCAGCTGGTGACAGTGGAGGAAGTAAGGATGTTATGAAGGGAGTGTACAGAGCAGGGGCCAGAGCTGGGGGGCAGAAGTCGGTTGAGGAGAGGGTGGAGAGGGAAACATACCTGCGTGGCCAGCTCAGGAGGCCAGAGCAGTGTGGGGCAGGATGAACGTAAGTTCTCAAGTTGCATTGCTCTGCATCATTGCTAGATCTCCAGGCCCTTTGCCACAGAGACTGGAGGACTCTTCGTGTGGGATGCAGTGGAGGAGGGGATTGGGTGTGGGGCTGGAATGTGGGTGATCCAGGCTTCCTCAGCCTCTGAGCACCCATGAAACTCTGGAGAGGTGATTGTGGAAAAAACAGTCCACAATTTTTCTTCGATGCCGTCTGTCCAGGGTTCTCCTCCAGGCTGTGCCAGCCTCTTGGGTAGCTCTGCAGGGGCCCTCCTCCCTGGTGGAGGTGAAGGAGACGGGCCTGGGATTCAGGATCCTGGCTTCCTCTCTCACTTCTGCAAGGAGCTGTGTGACTGTGGCAGGTCATGTCACCTTCCAGTCCCAATCATCAGAAATAAATAACATCTGTGTGCATTACATGGTTTTTGTTGTGCTTTTGGGATCCTTCATTGGAGAAAATGTGAAATGAAGAATCATCAATTTAGCGATGTTTGGAAATAAAATTTAGTTTTATTTAGTATCACAATGCCAATGTCCTTTTATGTTAGAACAAAAGTAATTCTTATGAGCAAGGTACATTATTTATTCAGTGTACAAATGACGACTGCATGGGGCCCTTGTCTCTCTCACCCCACTGGGTTCAGGGCTGTTGTGCAGCAGCTGTAGATCTCCCAGGGTCTGAGGTTTGGGTGTGGCAACCACTGTTCTGTCTTCACTGAGGTGTGTAACCTGGCAGCACCAGGGCCATATCTGGCCTGCAAGTGTGTTTTACTTGGTTTACAGAGAATATCGGAATTTTCAGCTTCTCTTAATGACTCAATCTTGGGCAGTGCCAGGCTCACAATGGCAGCAGGAGCCCAGGCCCCAGCTGATCCTAGTCTCATAGTGACTTCTGATCTGACTGGGATTCTGGAAATCGAGGTTTGAGGCTTTTGATCTTGATGACTTGTGAAATCCTTTCAGCTCTGAGGTGCTGTGATCTTGTGGTCTTGAAAGGAAGATCCTGACGGTGATGAGTGTACCCAGCGAGGTGGGTCTTTGGTTCAGGTATTAGTAAGGTTCCTTTAACACTCACATAGAGCTTGAATTGACCCTGATTTTCGCTGTGGCCTGATGGTGTCCACTTCAAGTTGTTACTATAATGGAAAATAATTTATAGCAAAAATCTCCATTCCCCTTGACAGTGGAGGGAGTTATTTTCTGAGGTATCAGGCATTGGCATTGGTTCCAAAGGAACCAATCTGTGGGCGTCTTCCTGCTCTCAGGTGTAAGGATCTCTTTGGTCATGTCTCACACCTCTGGTGTTGTGACTTGTAGATGAGCCTGAAATGCCCCAGGAGAGGAAAGAGGATGCACAGAAGCAGAGAAGGGGGTCGATTCTGAGGGGTGTGGGGTGGGGGAGACAGCATGACAGAAGCGTCTGAGCCACATGGCAGAAATGCCTTTTTATCTACCCCAAAGAAATAATTATTATTACCATGAGGACATAGGCTCTAGAATTGCAACTCAATTCAGAATCACTAAGATGTGGAATCAGCTCACGTGCCCATCAACTCATGAATGGGTTGATAAACTGTGGTATATGTTCAGCCATAAAAAGATGGAGACTTTGTATCTTTTGTATTAACCTAGATGGAGCTGGAGAATGTTCTACCCAGTAAAGTATCAGGAGGATGGAAAAGCAAGTATCCAGTGTACTCAAAACTAATATGAAACCAGTAAATGACCAAGTACACTCCCACACAAGAGAAAAACACAAGTAAACTCAAGTTGCAGGATGGGGGGAGGAGGGAGGGGACTGGGGAGCTCTCACCTAACAGGCACGGTGGAGGGTTCATGGTTCACCTCCTGGGCAGGGGCACAACTACAACGTGGACTTTGCACGGTGGAGGGTTCATGGTTCACCTCCTGGGCAGGGGCACAACTACAACGTGGACTTTACCTGACAGCTGCAAACAATGTAACCCAATCCTCTGTACCCTCATACTAAACTGAAATTAAAAACAAAAACAACCCTCCCCCAAAACTTTATAGAAGCTGTAGTTGTAGGGTTTTCTGTTCTATAACAAGGCTCGTCTGCAACTTGGTATCTTGTTGTTTAAGATTTTGGTCCTTCTGGAGCTTGTAACCTTTAAATACCTAAATTAGACATACAGCATTGGGCACACAGGCCAATTAAATAAATAAAATATAAAAGCAAAAAAAAGAATATGCCTTTTTAAAGGGCTGCCACCGCCAATGACATGAATAACCAGCACCTCATGATGCTTACCAAGGGCTGTGTTCTTCATGTATGTTCACTGTGGAAACTGAAGCAGAGAAGTTGTGCCTAAAGTTACAAAGCCGGGAGTGGCCGGCCTGGGAATTAACAGCAGACTCTGTGGCTCCTGCAATTGTGCCTGGACCACTACGCCATCTATTCTACTTTCTGACAGTTGTCCTGGGACCTGTGTCAGGCTCTTGGAACCTCAGGGTGTGGATGGTGGTGGAGGATGCCATAGGTGACCATTAAAGTTTGCAGAATCGCCCGGTAGCCTAGTCATGTGCGTTTCTCACCTGTGTCTTACGTCTTGGGTCGTTTCTAGAATATTACTCTTTGGTATTAATTAAATTGATCTGCTGTTGACTAAGGTGAAATCTAGCTTTTAATATAGTTCTGCATGCTCAATAAGCATTGTCATCTATAAAAAGACTTGCGGTATTGGTTTGGGAACTGTCATTTTTACTTAAATTTGTTGAATTGGTTTTTAAGAATAAAGCACATGCAATAGATAATACTTAACTGAGAGGATCATTTTTTTCTTCAAAAAAAATGCCTATATATTTAGGCATTTTGAGGCAGTGCTTTCAAATGAGCTAAATAGTCTGTAACATATTTCTCCTTTCGAAGATAACATGTTTAAATAGCTTTATATCCCAAACATTCTATGTTTCTCAACAATTTATTTGATTCTCTACCTAAATAATCTTTTTTATTTTTTTATTTTTATTTTTTGAGACAGAACCTCAAGCTCTGTCCCCCTGGGTAGAGTGCCATGGCATCACAGCTCACAGCAACCTTCAACTCCTGGGCTCAAGCGAGTCTCCTGCCTCTGCCTCCTAAGTAGCTGGGACCACAGGTGCCCACCACAACGCCTGGCTATTTTTTGGTTACAGCCATCGTTGTTGTTTGGCGGGCCTGGGCTGGATTCAAACCTGCCACCTTAGGTGTATGTGGCTGGCGCCTTAGCCACTTGAGCCACAGGCACCGAGATCCTAAATAATCTTTGACACATAATTGCTGATTTCCACTTTCTATCAGCATGAGATAATCAGTGTTCTGCTTTGAGGTGATATAGTTTGAGCTTTGAACTTAAGAGCTTTATTTTTCCTTAATCTCTGTCTTCCTAGGTTGGGCAAATGTAACATTTGTATTAGATCATTCACCTTTTAAAATATGAGTAACATGGCTTGGCACCCATAGCACAGTGGTTATGGTGCCAGCCACATACATCGAGGGTGGCAGGTTCAAACCTGCCCTGGGCCAGCTAAACAACAATGGCAACTGCAACAAAAAATAGCTGGGCGTTCTGGCGGGCACCTGTCGTCCCAGCTACTTGGGAGGCTGAGGCAAGAGAATCACTTAAACCCAAGAGTTAGAGGTTTCTGTGAGCTGTGATGCCACAGCACTCTACCAAGGGTGACATAGTGAGACTCTGTCTCAAAAAAAAAAAAAAAAAAAAATATATATATATATATATATGAGTAACAGCTTGGAAACACTCCCCTCCTCCTAGCTTAGGAGATTTGGGGTCTTGGTGTAGGTTAGAAACTTCTGGTTTAAGGTTAAAAGTTGAAATTAACAGATGCTATGCATCTTTGTTTTAGGGATGGTGGAGATGGATCTACCTTTTTTATTCCTCTGGTCTTCTAAGGATCTAAGCATTGCTCTAATGTGTCTGTTTTTTAATCGTTTTTATCTCTTGGCACACTTGAACCTATAGTTAAACTTCCACAGCACACTTAAATATGTTGATTAAAAAAAAGAGTAAAGAAATAGAATATACCTACTGTGCTTTGAACTTCTTTCAAAAATAATTTTAAAAAGTAATTAATGATCTTCAAAAATTTTCGCAGCACCCCTAAGATCCTCTCGTGGCACAGCGTGACAATCACTGCTGTAATGTTATAAAAGTCTCAGTCTCGCTTCTTGCTTACTAATTAAAGCATTAGGCTCAGGGAACTAGGAGTGGACAGTGTCTGGCTGCCTGCAGGGTGCACTGTGTTAAATAGAAAGTTCTGTATAAGCATTTCAGAGTGATACTGAACACTGTAGTCGTCTCTCTAATTTTAGCTGATCTGTTTTGCAATTGCTGATGGAGAAAGTACAGTATTCTATTAAGAAGACAGGTTCCTTAGGTGGTTGCTATTTTGGAGACTCCCTGGGTCTCCCTCTTATAAAGTTCGTGGTCAGCATGAGCCATGGCTTCAGGTGTCCAGGAGCCAGCCCTCAAGTGAGCACTTGTGCTCCCTGAAGACACCTCTTAGTTGATTTTGGTCTCTGCTAAAATCATCGTGTGGCCCATAGGGGCCACTTAGGTGACACCACTAACCCATTGCTAAGTAGGAAACATGCTTCCTTTAATTCAGTTCTTTGGTTTTTGTTTTAAGGGAACAGCCTTATCCAGAGCCTAACCTTTTTTTTTTTTTTTTTTTTTGTTAAAGGGAAAATTATTTAAATCTGCATTGTGTACACACAGTAGAGAGCAAAGTGTATTGAATCGCTGCGTGCCTATCGTGCGGCTTCCCTGAGCACTGTTCTGCCAGTCGGTCCCATCACCCCCACACCAGCTCCTCCTTCTCCTTCTGTCTTCTCTTCTCCTTTCCTCCCCTCCTCCTTTTCTTCCCTGCAGTATTTTAATACAACATCCACACAGCCTCCTTTCATCTGTAAATATTTAGTCATGCACCTGTAACTTCAATACTTTATTTTTTCATTTAATATAAATATTGCATTGAAAGTTATTTAAAGTGTTAAAAGACACACCAACAAAATTGGCAACCATTCCTTACTATCCTCTAATACCAAGCCTGTATTCATATTTTTTCCTATAGTATCAAAGATAACCTTTCTGAATTCAATTCTTTGGTTTTTGTTTTGGATTTTTGTTTTAAGGGAACAGCCTTATCCAGAGCCTAACCATTTTTTTTTTCTGTTAAAGGAAAAATTATTTAAATCTGCATTGTGTACGTAAAGTAGAGAGCAAAGTGTATTGAATCACTGCATGCCTATTGTGCGGCTTTTTGCAAGCTGTTGATTTATTGAAGGAGCTGGATCATTTTGCCCTAAGATTGCTCTAAAGATTGCTTCCTTGAGCTATTGTTTGACTTGTGTTTTGTGTAAGGTAGTGTTAGATCTGGAGGCTTGATCACATTCAGAATTAACTTTTTTTTTTTTATTGTTGGGGATTCATTGAGGGTACACAGAACCAGGTTACATTGATTGCCTTTGTCAGATAGGGACCCTCCTATAGTTGTGTCCCGCCCCCAAAAGGTCTACCGCACCCCTTGACCCCCCTCCCTTTTCTTAGCTCTCCCCTTCCCCCACCCTCACTGTGTACTAGGACCTGGAATTGTGTCTGACATTTTACAGGACTCAGTAAATATCTGTTGAATCAGTGCATAGATGTGAGCCATGACATGTAGCTGAGATACTGTGATCGCAGGCTTGTGTCACGGGTCATATGTAGATATGTGTCAGCATTGGGAGTGAAGAAAGTTACAACTGCTACAGAGTTTTTAGGAGGTGTATAGTAAAATTAATTGTCAGGTACAAATTGCCTGGCACTGTCAGCACACCTGAAGCCACATGTGTGTAACCTGGTCATCGATATACAGGGTCTGTGGGCGTAGATGCCCGAATGCTGCCACTTTAGAGAATTCCCCAGGAGCTCCGGGCACTGTTTCAGGTGGTCTGCAGCGTTCCCCAACATTTGCTATAAGCATCTGTGTGTCTCTCATCTCCTCTTTGTCTGTTGGCTCCTGGAGGGCAGAATCCCTGCATGCTCTGTATAAAGCAGACAGTCAGTAAATACCAGATGACTAGAGCAGATATGCTTTCAGCAACACAGGAAATTCATGGATTTTTACTAGAAAACATGGCTTAGGACATGAGCACTGGAGAGATGTTATACACAGAGCTGCCCCTTGGCCTCAGGGAGATAATAAAAGAGCTTTGTCACAACCTGTTGCATCTGACTGTGACTCTACAAACCTGTCAAGGCTTCCAAGGCCAGAGGCATTGACCTGGATATCTATGAGAAGTCAGAGGTGTGAGACTGGCCTCCACCTGCTAAGGCTGCAGAGATGGGCCAGAGGCAGGTTGGACATCACAGTAGAAGGCAGTTTGTGCTTCCGAGGAGAGGGTTGTGGCCTGGGGGCTGAGCAAGGGGGAGGTTCTGTGGAGAATGTGAGGGCAGCAGCCACAGTGTTTGCAGAGAGGACGTGAATTACTTGTTTGGCTTGCTGACAAGGTGAGGTTTGCTGACAAGGTGAGGTTTGCTGGGCCCTACTATGTACTTCAGGGCCCCCCCCTCCTTTTTTTGCTGCAAACAGGCTGGAGGAACTGGAGTCTGAGCCAAACCTGGAGTCCATTGAGGCTCTGCTGTGTTAGCTGCATGAGAGTCCTTAAGACCACTTGGAGTGGAAAGACCTACCTGGCACTGCTCTGCCAGTGTCTTCCCAGGGTTATCGTGTTAACGAGGTCATCAGAGGGGCTGAGCTTGGAGGGAGTGGGAAGCAGCTTTCTCAGGTTCTCGCCTCTATCATGAAAGGCGGTGTGGAATCTGATCTAAGTTTCCAGTGATTTCTTGTAGATAACCAGCATTAAAAAGTTCTGTTCACATCAAAGCCACTTTCTTTTATTTTTTAGTTTTATTTATTTATTTATTTTTGAGACAGAATCTCACTCGGTCACCCTGGGTTGAGTGCTGTGGAATCATTGTAAATCACAGCAATCTCATACTCCCGGGATCAAGTGATGGCCTGGCTCAGCCTCCTGAGTAGCTGGGACTACAGGTGCCCACCACTGTACCTGGCTGATTTTTCACTTTTTAGTAGAGATGGAGTCTTGCTCTTGCTTAGGCTAAGTATCAAGCTTCTGAGCGCAGGCAGTCCACTGGCCTCGGCCTCCCAGAGCACCAGGACTATAGGCATGAGCTGCCATGCCCGGCCCAAAGCCACTTTAATGCTTCTCCCTTCTTCCAAGCCAGGAGTCTCAGAAAACAGTGTTGTGAAGGGTTATCATGGGTGTCCTGCTTTTTTTTTAATCCATGCTCCACCTCTTTGCCTCCTTTCACTTTCTGACTCCTGCCCTCAAGGGCCAGGGCCTGGGGAGGTGAGAAAAATGGGCAGCTTCTTCTCTACCTGTGCTGTTGGGCCCCTGTGGCTGCCGGATGTTCTCTGTCAGGCTGTGGAGTAGAGGTTTTTGAGAGCTGCATCCCCCGCCGCTGCCCCATACCCTGTCCAGCGGCCTCTGTAACCTCTACCCTCCCCACCTGGGTTCCTGGCTGGACAGCCCACCTTCGCTGCAGAGTCCTTCCCAGCTGTCCTCGTCCTGCCTGCTGCCTGCTTGGCCCACCCTGCCCTCCCAGCAGCTGCAGCCCATCTCCTTCTGCTTCTCCAGGGTGGGGTAACCCTCACCTCCCTGCCATCCCCTGGAACTCCTGGTCCAGAAAGAGTGTGGCGGGGTCCGTAGGTGGGAGCAGCTCGGAGGTTCCCTGGGCTGTGCTCTGGCTGCCTGGGTCTCCCCTGTCCTGGGTCCCAGCTCCCTGGGCTGAACTCTGGCTTCCCGGGGTCTTCCCTGTCCTGGGTGCCAGTTCCCTGGGCTGCATTTTGGATTTCTGGGGTCTCCCCTGTCCTGGGTGCTGGTTCCCTGGGCTGTGCTCTGGCTTCACGGGGTCTCCCCTGTCCTGGGTGCCGGTTCCCTGG